ACAATATTTACATTTTGTAGAATGTAGAACCCCCTTCCCACAACTTTAGGGGGTTGAGAATAAGCAGGTAATTAAGTGATTTTTTTCTGTTTATGTTTAATTTCTTCAAGTTAACCATCAGGCTAAGTAAGCCCTTTGTCAAAGTTATGAATCATCTTATGAACCTGTCAGAGATTATAGCTTCTTGATGCACAGTACTAAACACATGCAGTTAGTTCCAAGACACAATGTATCATTTCAGCAGTACATAGTATATTTTGTTTTCTCTATGATGGGGGAATTATGTATTTAGATTAATACAAATACCTTTTCCTTCTGGATATTCTCTTTTCTCTGGTTCTTGTTTTGAGGGAGAAGAAAGTGAGGGGGTTGGTTTTGTTGTTGTTGTTGTTGTTGTTAAGATTCTCTTAGTTATTTTCCTGCCTTTCTCCTTCGTCTCCTTTGGTTGTTACTCATCCTTGTCATATCCACGGACTATAGGTATACCCCAAGCTCTGTCCTCTGCTTCTCTTTTCTTTCTGTACTCTGTCACTTGATAATTTAATCATTGCCCATGGGTTCAGTTACCATTTCTGTATAGATTATTCCCAGATCTATATATATCCAGCCCTGGTTTCTCATCTGAACTTCCTCCTGAAAATCCCTGACTGCTCTGTAGATACTTTGAACTCAACATGTCCATACCAAAACTCAGTGTCTTTTCCTGCAACCTATCCCTCTTTCAGGCTTTCTGTTGCTGTTCCAGGCAGGACCATCCTTCCAGTCCTCCAGATACACTTCCTCAGAATCATCTTTGACTCCTCATTCTTACCTACAGATCCAGTCAGTTGCCAAATCTTGTTATTTCATTCCCCCCAACATTTCTTGTGTACGTCTTTTTCTCCACTCACACAACCCAACCCTAATTTAGACCCTAATCACCTTTCGCCTGGACTATAGAAATAACCTAGATGGTCTCCCTGCTCCAATCTTATCCTCCTCACAACTGCCAAAATGATTTTCTTAGAATAGGTTTTGTTTGACAGACAAGAAAGCTAAAGTTGGAGCAGGGAAGTGATCATACAACTAGAAAATGGCACAGCCAGCACTTCAGTGCAATTAAATAAATATTTATTTGTCTGCTCTCTGGCACTGTGACAGGCTCTGGGAAGTCAAAGGGAAATATTAAATAGACCCTGTTCTCAAAGCACTTAACATCCTTCTTGGGGCATACACCATGTTTCCTTCCAACTCATTGACAGATAAATAGAAAGTCATTTCAAGAGAGAGTGAGCACTGACCACAGCAGGGATCAGAAAAGGCTCCGCATGGGGAGGGGCGAAAGATCTGAGCCTTCCATGAAGGAAGCTGAATATTCCAAGAGGTGCACATGAGAGAGTATATTCCAGGCAAGGCAGCAGCCTATAACGGGGCATGGAGAGAGGAGATGGCATGTTGAGTTGAAAAAACAAGCTAGTGGCTCAGTTTAACTGGAATGTACAGTGCATGAAGGAGAGTAGTAGTAATGCAAAGGAAGTACAGAAAGTTAGGTGAAGCCATATTGTGGAGAGCTATAAATGCCAAGCTCAGAAGTTTATAGTTTAACCCAAAAGCAACAGGGAGCCACTGAAGGTTTTGAGTAGGAGAATGACGTGGTCAGACTTAGGTCTCAAAAATAGTGTAGAGGATGATTTCAATAAAGCAAGCAAATGTTAAGCACTAGGAATACAGAAACAAGAGCAAAACCATCCTTGGCCTTCAGGAGATTACATTCTAATGAGGGAGACAACAGTGTGTGTGTGTGTGTGCGTGTGTGTGCATGCATGCATATAGAGATGCAAAGCACATATATGGTTATATAGAAAACACACATAAAGTGGATATGAAGTTACCTTAAAAGCAAGGGTAAGCTACTTCTCTCTAGCAGGAGTTAGTTTTGAGAAACAGTTCTAGGCATCTCCTGACATTTAGAAGAACATGAGTAATGTCAGTCCTCTCTAGATAACACCCTTTAGTTATCTTAAAATTTAAACCCAACCCACAACTGGGAAAGCATTTCTCATTTCTGGAAGAGTTTATTTTAGGTAAACCCAGCAAGAATTGGGCCTTCAGACATCTAGTGCTGGCTGGAACTCTGTCAGTGTAAAAGGCCTTGTTACGTGTACTATGATCTCTTCACTTTACCTGGACCTCTTCTATGCACTTCTATCACTCTTCCTTGGACCAAAGCCACTTCCCTTTTGTTCCCCATTCTAAAAACTTCTTGAGTGTAGAAACTGTCATTTTTCATCTTCGTATTCCTCCTGGACAGTGCCTCAATGTTTAATAAATGTTTGTAAAATCAGATTTAATTTGTTGTCCAGCATAAATCAATCTTCTTCCCTCACTTTGAATGAGCAGCACAATCGATGTGTTCAAAAGGCAGTGTCCTTACTAGTGACAAGTCCTTCTTTTCACTTTTTCAAACAATATCTGGGGAAAATTATTCCCTTCTAGGTTGTTTCTTCTTTTGTGTCATAGAATCTCAGTCTCACAACGCTTTATTTTCAGTCCTTGCTTTGAGAAAGTCCAACCAAAAAACAAAACAAAACAAAAAAACCCCAACAACATGGCCAGTCTTTTAGGTATTACAAGGAATTACATTCATGCCGCCCACTCTTTACATTCATGTAGTTTTCTGGTGCAAAACTGATGGACGTAGGTGGGTATTTGGTTTTTTGGCATTAGTAGCATAAAGCTTTGATAGAAAATATGTCTGCTCCTAAATATAAAAATTTTTTGATGGCATCTGTCTATGTTAGTACAAGACCTTTGACATCAAGAGGCGCAGTCTTCTCACATCAAGGCCACTTTGTTTAAGTGGTGGCTAGCTGTCCCTTATAAGGCACTTTAGGAATTTTTCATATTTAGTCAACTCAATATATAATTCTACAAAGAAAACCTTTTTGTAAAATAGGTGTTTCCTAATACCTCATCCATTTGAGTGAAGGTTAAAGTAGGACTAAGATATGACGGTCAAATAAATCTTAGATTTCAGTAATCAACCTCATTTTTTAGCCAGTGATTTTAGTTATCTCTATGGCATAGCCACAGAATAGCAGAATGTTAGAGCTAGAAAGGATCTTAGGACAAATAATGTTAGAGTTGGAGGGGAACTTAGAGCATGCAATGTCAGAAGTATGAAGAATACTAGGTATCTCAACCAAGCCTCTCAGTTTACATTTGAGAAATTTAGATTTAGAGAAAGGATTTGCCCAGCGAGTCAGTGAAGACTTCAAATCTTCTTCCAAACCAACACTTTTTGCATTATATTATGTATCCTGTTAAAACATAGCTTGATATTTTGTTTCTTTTCCTTGCTGCTGTTATCTATCTACTGAAAATGCTAATGAGAAGCAAAATGACCTTAAGACAAGCATAAGAAGAAATAATCAATTCTTATAAAATTTGAAAATTAGCTTCCTTTCATTCCCTGCAGGTCTGTGTCACACACACACACACACACACACACACACACACACACACCCTCTCTCTCTTCTCTCTGTTCTCTCTCTCTTTCTCTCAATTCCACTGGCTCCCTAACACGTCGAGGTTCAAATACAAAATCCTTTGTTTGGCATCCAAAACCCTTCATAACCTCCTTCCTTCCAAACCCTATGCACCTTTTTAGATTTCTCATACCTTGCTCCTGCCATGTATTCTTCAAATCAGTGATGCTGTCATCCTGGCTGTTCCTCAAATAAGACACTCCATCTCTTGGTTCTAGGCATTTTCACTGGCTGTCCCCATGCCTAGAGTTCTCCCTCTCCTCATCTCTACCTCCTGGCTTCCCTAGCTTCCATCAAGCTTAGGTAAAATCCCACCTTCTATAGGAAGCTTTTCCCAACCCTTAGTGGCAGAGCCAGGATTCACTTCACACGTTTCCCCCACCCCCCCCCCGCCCCCGTACTCTTCCAGCTCCAAGTCAAGTGCTTTTTCTACTATAGTATTCTCTCTCTTTCTGGAAGGCATTATCTAGTCAGTTTTACTAATTTATACAAAACCTGGCTCCTAGAATACCACATGCATGTATTTCTTTCAGAAATATTTTTGCCAATGATGATATTTTTGATATGGATCTGTGATTTCATTGATGTATTTGTTTCAGCAGTTCAGCTTAACCTTTCTGCCCTGTGTCTTCCTGCAAACCCTCCATGTGCTAGTGATCTTCCTCTGGAGCAGGGGGTCTCTGCACACTTAGTTTGCACCTTAGGCTTGTGCAGTCAGCCTTGTGAATCCCTTCTCAGAATCAGTACCCTGTGGGACATTCTACTCCTAAATAACCATCATGGTTGGGAAATGTTTGCTTATAACAAATTCAAATCTGCCTTCTTACATTCTGCCCCAACACTGTTCCTCAGTATGACTTCTGGGCAAAGTAGAGTAAGTCTAAGATACTTTTAAATGCATCCAAATTTCAAAAGAAGCCAACTAAATGGAAATGCAATTTTATAAAAGCATGTTCATGGGCTCCCTGTTAAGAGTTCTGTTCTAGAGGTTTCAATGTTGGGTTGGTGTCGATGAAACAAGAAAGTTACCTGCCAATCTCCTGTCATGCCCCACACTAGTGACTAGGTCACTTCCTTTTCTAGTCATACATATCTCTAATAATATCCTTACTTATGAACAGTACTTTATAGAATTTTACATTTTAAAGGGATCTCAGAGACCATATAACTCAAACCTCAAAGCAAGCCAGTATCAGATTGGCAGATACGGCTTGTTTCCATTTGAAAATGTACTAATATGCAATCTCAAATCCTGAACTTCGAGGTAATCAGTGGTTTCCAAAGTTAGGTTCTTAGAAAAAGAGACAAATTCTTAATTAGCTCTTATATTTCTCTGTGATGAAAAAGTTTGCATACATTTTAGACCGCTCCTTCTTTGAAGCAGGAGAGCATGGCAAAACCATTGGATATTGAGCCCTGTCTGAATGTTCTGAGGCTTCTGGAAGTCTTACAAGTGCTCTGTTCTCTCTGCAGGTGGTGCGGGATTACAATCTTCAGCTGTTTTTACAAGAGAATTCTGTGTTTCATAAACCACCACCTTTCCAGTTCCATCCCAGTGACAGTGATACCGTAAGAAAATTCTTCTATCTTCTCGTCTTTTATTTTACCTTTTTTGTTACGTTCATAGCCTTCTCCAGGAAGCAGATAAAAGTCGGGCTGGGCTTGCTAAGTTTCCTACTTGCCCTTAATAGCTTGGTATTCCTGAGTTAGATAGAAAGCCCTGGCTCTTACCAGCTCTGTGGAGCTGATTTTATTGCAAGCAAAATGGAAGAGAAGACCAAGCCATCCCCTGCAGAGAAACTAGCAAGCTTACTTCCAGTAACGTGACTAAAATGCCTAGCAGGTCATTATGCTGCTATTCTGAGCTAACAGTTCTTTACTAAAATGTGTGAAGATCCCAGAGGAGTTACTGAAATTCTGAAAATCAGAGTGGAAAAGGAAGAAGCAGGAAGGAAAACAACCCCAGAAAATGTCGTAGTTATTTCTATTCCATCAGATATAAATAAAATGCCCTGCATAATGTTGTCCCGTCTTAGGACTTAATTTCTTCGTCTATAAAATAAAGGAGGTTGGAGTAGGTGACCCCTAACCTTCCAACTCTTGATCTCTGAGCCTGTGTTTTAAATCAAATGCTGCCAAAGCATCATGATACTTGGCTGTAATGTAATAGCTTTAATCCAGTCATCTGAAACAAAGATTGAATAGTCAACAAGGACTTGAGTTCAAGCAACCCTGACTCCTATAAGTGTCTTCTTCCTATCTCATTTATAACATTGTTTCTAAAAAAGCAATTAACCCATAATTTTCATTCTGTCATCTTCACATAATCAGTTAGTAATGTTAGGCCTCCACAGTGAGTCACTGCACATGACACATTCTAAAAACTCCTTGGTTAAATATTAGTGGAGGACATGATAGACTGCTGAGTGCCCTCATGAGTGTTTTTAACTTTGTCTTTTCATTGTTCCTTTCTCTTTTCTAGAGTCCAATTAGAGTACCATCATAAATATCTCTTATTTCTATAGTGCTTTGAGGTTTATAAAACATTTTCTTTGTAACAATCTATGAGGTGAGTAGTGTAGATATTGATAACTCTGTTTTACATATGAAGAAACCAAGGCTTAGAAAATTTAAGCAAGGTACTGTACAATGTACAGCAAGAACTGTACATTGAGAAAATGTAAGATCCAGTATGTGAACCCAGGCTTCCTGAGTCTCAAGTCCTTTCTTCTTACCAATGTAGTTACCATCTCTTGGTGATTTTTTTGAAAGAAAAGGCCTGAACCCAGCTTTTCTATTCCTGGGTTCACTCTCTGAAACTTCTAGACAATGAGAATGAAATGTTCCAAGGAATAGGTAATGGCAGCTCTGGTATAGTAGAGAGAAAGTCGACCTCAGAGTTAGGAAGCCTTGTGTTCAAGTCCCATTCAAGCCATGTTCTGGCTGGGTATGGACCCTGGAAAAGTTACTCAACCTTTCAATGCTCTGGGCAACTTTCTGAGACGGTGCATTGTAGAGTACATGTCAGGCTGCATGCAGGGAGGGAGTTTCCTCACTAGGAGTTCCTTAGATGAAATCACAGATTCAGTTTACCACTGTTTGATAGCATAATCAGCATTAAGATAATGACAGCAGACATTTTTATAGTGCTTTGCATCCAAGAGTGCTTTAAGACACATTACAGACCTTCCTTGCCTAAACTGTTGATTAGTTCTGCGATAGTCCTACAGTGTCAGACAAAACGGTGGTATAGGAAGCAATTCCATAGAAACAGTGTTATAAAGGGAACAGCAGACCTACTGGCCTTCCCAGGAATCATTGACACTGGGGTTCCAATGCTAGGTCGTCCATCCAATTTGTATCTCAGGTGATCAGATCAATTTCTTAATGTTACAGTGATTTGGATATATTGTACCAATAGCCTTCTTGTGACAACATTATGTGGGTTTCCCTTTATCTCATCAGCTCTCACCACAACAGTATGAGGTAGATAGTCTGGTATTATAATCCTCATTTATAAAAGGAGGGAAATGCTTTGCCCGAGGTCATACCAGCTAGTAAATGTTGGGACTCAAACCCTGGAGTTGTCTTTCCATCTAGGCCCCATTCCACCGCATCAGTCACATCTTTTAAAGCAGGTTTACAATTTGTCACAGCACTAGCCAGGTATCCAGTAGTTGCTGTATAGATTTGTCGGGGAATCTGGGGTCTTATTGTAATTCTTCTCCACGGACATAGGTCTCAACTTGTCTGTAAAGTGTCCTGTAAATGAATTTTTGATTGTCCCTCTAGAGAATGGGAATGGAGGTTTGGTTGTAAATGAGTGCAAGGGGGAAAGACTGAGAAGTGTAGGGAAAGGGAGCTATGGCATTTTTAAATAAAAATTAAAGCCGTAACTAAAATTACAACTAAAAGCAAATTAGTCTAACTTTTGTCATCAGAAAAAGATAGGGCACTTTAACCTTTTTGTAACTTTTCTTAAGCCTGACTTTTATATTGGAGCCTTCCTTTTTCTGCATACTTCCTGCTAAATGTTCTTAACTGCTCTCCTTGTGACTTTGTGCATTGCAGCTCTAACTCTATGCTCTGTTTCCTCTGTCTCTGGGCTTTCTCTCGGACAGAGTTTAAATGCAGTGCAGCTGGTGGATATTGAGCCCTCACCCGTCAGTGCTATGAGAATGACCATAGCAGAGGTACATGATCTGGGAGCATTTGTCAGGGTGGGGCCCCCCCGGGGAGCTGGGGGATGGGCACACAGCTACAACAATGATGAAATCACAAGGAAAAACCATTCACAGACTGAATTGACAATGAAGTGTGCCATGCTTTTAGTTCCCAGTTTTTACTGTTTCATGGTATGTGATCAACCATGGGCTTTTACTTCTCATCATTTTCATTTAGGAATTCACATTCCAATTTGACCAACTCTGATATTGACTTGAGGAAGAGCTTTTAATCTCATGTGTGTCGTCATTAATATCTTGGGAACTGGGATCTCTGCTTCTGGAAGCATTATTGGGATCCTTTTTTTAGTTACATTTGTTGACAAGGTTTATATATTGGATATTTTGGATCTGTACTGGTAGAATCTTTATAAGTAATGCTACATAGGGTAAATACTGTTTACTTCCTATTTCAAATAAAATCAGCACATGTAGAATTGGGAAATATTTATGCTAAACAAAATTCTTTGAGGTTAATCCATATCTGTTTTCACCAACAAATACGAGATAAAATTAGAGAGTTAGGCTGAGTCAGACTGTAGAATTCCTGGGTTGCTCTTCTAACTCATAAATTCAATTCAGCAAATATTTATTAAGCAGCTGATATATATAGAACATGAACAACACAGGGATAGATTTTAAAAATCTGTCTGAGACATGGTTCCTACCTTGGGGAAATTCCTTGCCGAATAGGAGCATAAAATAAAAGCACAGAGAACAGAGAACTCTGTTTAAGCTGTGGCTCAAGACTCTCTCCATGCACGCGCACCCCCCCCCCATTTCACGTGGCTTGGATTTAGGACTTAGTTTGGTACCATGTGCTTTAAGTGCATAGTGCCAGTATTGTCCTTGGGTTCCGTGCACCTGCTAGCACAGCAACTCATAGATTTTCAGATTTGGAATAGACCTTTGGGACCATCTGCTCCATCCTTCTCATTTCGGAGAGGAGAAAATTTGAGTCCTAGAATAGTGACTTGCCCAAGGCCACTCAGTTAGCAGATGTGAGATAAGAACCTAGTCTCTAGCAGAGACTGTTTTTTTTTTCAGACTCCAGAAACATTTTTACTTTCTTTCTCTAAGCAAAGCCAAAAAGAGCTTATTCCTTCCAGTAGGGACAATTTTCTCCACCTTTCCTTGCCCAGAAGGAAAGTATGATGCAGGAGATAACTGGGAGAGTCATGTTAAGAAAGGGCAACTCCCTCTCTCCCCCTAGTCCTCTGAATCTCCTCTAAGAAAAAAGGGACAGTCTGCGAGCTGACTCGTAAGCTGTGAGAGTAGATTGACAGGGCCAGTTATCAAGAACCATGTTTGGTGGACAAGGTTACCTTAGCGTGAGGGGGAAAAAAAGAAAAAAAATAATGAAAATACCCACATCCTCCAAGCTGAACTAAGCACATCTATAAAGGAAAAAATGCTGAGGGGAAATAGTTCTCTTAGCCAGCTTCTTAATGTTTCCTGGTATGTGGGGGGAGACCCTTTCCTTTCCACCTTCTTTCAGCTGCATATAACAGATCACAGATTGTGGCAGTAAAGAGCTGACTTGAACTTCTGGAAGTCAGTCATCTTCCTGTTTTTAGCTTCGATGTGTTTGTTTAATTGGAGCTAAGCTTTAATGATCCTTGATTGATTCATTCGCTCAAACATTTATCAAGCATCTCTTCTGTAGAGAGTACTGTGGTTGGCACTGGGAGAGATACAAAGTGTAGATGTATGAATAAATGCACGCACGCATGAATGAATGAAAAACACTGATTATGTGCTGAGCCCTGTGCCAGGTGCTGTGGAGACGAACAGAAAAGTAGGACAGTCCCTGCTTTCGAGGAGCTCACACTCTAATGGGGAAAACAACACATGTGGGAGGTTTTAGCTTGCAAGTGTGATGGAACAGTCCCATGGGCCTTAGGATGAAGCCATAAAGTTTATGGCAATGCTGCTTCTTTCATGGCATTTTCATTGATAAAATTGCATTAGTTTCTTAGGTTGAGCCATTTGGTGATGCCAAGGACTTAAGTAAGACCTGATCCCTGCCCTCATAGAGTTTACAGCCGAAGGTTGTTATTAAAGGAGGGAGGGATCCAGGAAAGAAGGTGGTATTTGGATTGAGCTCTCAAGTAGAGGTAGGAATGTAAAAGTAGAAGAAAGGGAAAGAAGACATTCCAGGCATAGGGAGCATCTTGACTAAGGACTTGCACAGGACCTATTCAGAAGAATGAAAGCCATTCATTTAGCTGGACCATGCTATGCATGGAGAGGAGTAATAAGATAACACTAGAAAGGCAGAGTGACGTCAGATTGTGGGATCAATGAAAGGTAGTGGAAGTTTTGGCTTTTATTCCAGTGAGTGAA